AAAATAGCCGAAAATCTGAAAAAAGTCCAAGAATTTTACCTAAAAACTAGGATACTCATCTTTCATGTCAACTGAACAAATCAAGACCATAATTAGCTTTCCAACACATTTTTCCAAGTGAAGCCTATACTTTGATTGGCCTATTACATTTATCAGCATTTTTAGCAAGACGAAAACTATACGTTTAAAATTTCGATGGTTTAAAACATCATAAGTCGACTGAATATCTAATGAATAAGATATGATAATAATACACAGGGTGATTTATGAGGAAATGTTCAGGTACGCGTTTAAACAACTTTTTATGAAATATGATAATTAATGTTGAATGAGAAATTGAATCGCGTGATTCGATTCAATAAAAAGAATCGTAATGCCCATCGCTACCCTACTGGCAAGCGAAACCTTGCTTGGGTCGGTGTTTACATGCTAGAAAGTCGGAAAGAGCAAAAATTCAGAGTATTCATTACATAACCACTTAAATCCGCCGCTAGATTTCATGCGCTTGGGAAAATACTTGGCTCTTCTATGCAATTTTATTTTGGTGAGCGTATTGATCATACTCTTCGTACATACGAAAATCGGCATCTAAGGTCAGAAATGCCAATGCCGGCACGGTAAACTTTTAACTAACTTTGGATCCTGAATGCGTACCTACTTCAAGTAATGACATTTCCTCATGAATCGCCCTGTATATACATATTGCTCTGTATATGTTAACAGACAAAAATGACCAAAAAAGTAATAGAATCGCATTATCTACATATAGAGTTTGATTATACAGGGTCCGGCAATAGTGCGTCGGGCATCTGTAGCTCCTAGAATAAAAAACTATGGGAATTTTTTAAGTTCAAACCTAAAGAATGTACGAGGATGTATTTCAGGAAAATATTTTAACTGCTATAAGGTGGCTCAAAAAAGTGTGAGTGGACCGGGATGATTTTTTTTTAAATGGAACACCCTGTATATTATTGCATTTTTGGCTTCCTTTCAGATCACTTATGATGAGTAAATATAGTTCGATAATTTCAGAGATATTAATAAATAAATAAAAAATATATATTTTTCAATCTTCCTTAAAAAAAATATTACAAAAAAAGAACTGTCCTGAAATCAAAACTATAATAGGTAATTACTTTAGATGGTCTATACTTACTTTGCTATAAATATCGTAATCTTAAATCATACAGGGAGTTCAAAATTCTACGCTACATTTTTTCTAAAATACAAAACAATTTTTCTTTGTTTTTTTTTAATGGAACACCCTGTCTATTATTTTTTTATTAGATGGAATGTTAAAAAATTAACATTTTTTATGTTTGAAATTTGAAAATTTTTAATGGTTTCGCAGATACACGCAGTATTATTTCATATGCCTCTTTCAACGGTAAAATACGAGAGAAAAATCATTTGGTGGCTTTGATAAAAATTTACTGCGGAAAATGCAACATGAAATATAAAACCGCGAGTATCTGCGAAACCGTTAAAATTTTTGAAATACTCCAAAAACAAAAAAAGTTGATTTTTTAATTTTCTACCTAGTGAAAAAAGAATATACAAGATGTTCCATTAAAAAAAACGAAGAAAAATTATTTTATATTTTAGAAAGTTTGACGTAGAATTTTGAACATCCTGTATGATTTACGATTGCCATATTTATAGCGAAGTAAGTACAGACCCTCTAAAGTAAATATCTAATATAGTTTCGATAATCTCAGAATAGTTCTGTATTTGTAATATTTTTTTTTTGAGAAAGGCAGAAAAATACATATTTTTTTATTTAATTATTAATATCTCTGAAATTGTCGAATTGTATTTACTCATATCTTAGGATTACGTAATGTGATCTAGAAGGAAGCCAAAAATGCAATAATATACAAGGTGTTTCATTTAAAAAAATCAACCCGATCCACCCACACTTTTTTAAGCCAACCTATAAAAGTTAAAATATTTTTCTGAAATACATCCTCGTACATACTTTGGGTTTGCACTTAAACAAAATTCCCAGGTTTTTTATTCTAGTAGCTACAGATGCCCGACACACTATTGCCGAACCCTGTATAAGAACCAATTCTCAGGAAGTATCTAAAATATTTTTGTTTAAAAAAAATGTATGCGGCCTTATCCGCTCATAGTAGGTAATGTTATTTATTTTAAATTATGTAGTACCTTCCGAATTAGTTTTTACAAATGCCAGTCTTAGAGATAACTAATTTTCTGTATTACAATTTAAATTAGGAAGAAAATAGGTTGACACTACTACGCAAACTAAAAGACAATGTTAGTGATAAAATAATAAAGGCAAAACATAAAAAACACATTGTTAGTCGTCACAACCAATAATAGCATGCAAACATACACAAATTTAAATGGCAAATAAAAAGAGATAAGCGCGTTCTTGCACGTGTGTGTTTTTTGTCGCGCGTGACATAACAAAAATAAATCTTTCTACGCTATTCCTTGGCTGCCAAAACGTCAATATGAGGTAATTATTTTTGGCAAGCTAACCGATCCTATTTTTTTAGCCAGGGAGCGTGCATTAAACTCAGACACAATAGAGACTGGGATGAAAGCAGGTGCTTGAATGTCATCATCAATAATAAAATTCAAAACTTGATTATTTATGTTTGAAAATTATTTAATTTTAATAATGAAATAGACTACAAAACATTTTTGATATACATATATGTATGTGGTATAAAGGTATACATTAAATTAAATCGATATTTAAAAAAATGTTTTTTTTTTCGATTTGACGTTTCGATATTAAATAGCTCACCCCCCTATAACTCTTTTATTTTTTCAGAAAAAAAAACGAGACATGGTATGTTACTTATGACATAAATTAGGATTGATTGACGTATTCAATTGTTTTTGGTTACTTCCTGTTTCACTGGAAATGACTACAACTTTTTATTTTTAAATGGCGCTCTCGGTGTATTTCTACTTTATTCGATAGAAAATGAAACTCTTAGAATAGTTTATTTGAAATTGTAACATGCGGTTCATAACAATTTGACTCGAAATACCAAGTGTGTGGTACTAAATTATTCGTAAAAAAATGCTTTTTCCAATTCTGTTAATGAGCCACTCTTGTTCCAATTGGAAACATTGAGATATAATTAAAAATAAGATTTGGGCATTTTTTAATCGGCCAGGACAAGACATGAAAGACATTAGACGATCAAATTTGTTTTTCGAAAGCTCCTTGATTAAAAATTAGTGTTTTTAACTCAGCCATGACACTCTAGATTGAAATTTAAAATACGATTTGTTTTTAAACGAAAATGTCAATAGTTAATATATGATATATCATTCTACTCAGTGTCATTTTCTATCGAATAAAGTAGAAATATACCGAGGGTGCCATTTAAAAATCAAAAGTTGTAGTAATTTCCGGTGAAACAGGAAGTGACCAAAAACAAATGAATACGTCAATCAATCCTAATTTATGTCATATACTAACATACCAAATCTCATTTCTTTAAGTGAAAAAATAAAAAAGTTATAAGGGTGAGCCACTTTTGAGAGGCATCCGGTATTATGTCTAAAAATACTATTTAACTATCGGCATTCGATCACGATAATAATGTAACTTTAGTTAACACTTTATAAGCTGGCAACTACAAAGGAAAACGCCAAAAACGCCATTTAATTTTTGAAAAATCAGCTCCTATATTTTTTTATTATTATTCATATATACACCCGGTATTATATGTTATATACACCCGGAACATACACGTTGTTAATTTGTTTATTACTCGCGGCAAGAGCTTTATGGTTGAAATATGGCAACCTCGGCCCGGTCTATAATAATATAAATAAGGTAAATAAGCTTAGCTTAGTACTCATTTGGAATTGGATGCAGTGTTGCTATTCTGTTCCCCAATAAGAAACCGTCCAGTTAACAATCTGTATAACAGTAAGTATAAGTAATAAATAAATCTGATTAAGATTATAGATTTCTAATATAGTTACCTATTATAATATTATAGTTTATTTGACTTCCCAAAGACATAAGTAAACCCAGAGGGGTTCTAAAATGTATACAGTGTCACAGATAAAGTCCACATCATATGGAACTTTTTTATTTATTGATTTAGATGATTTTACTTCGGTGATCGTTTCTGCTATAATTTAGAATAAAAACAACTTATAAAAATGTAACCTGTTGACAGTTACCTGAGGGCAAAAGGCAAGATTTCCTTATGCTAGTTTTAATTTAAATCAAAGCAGAAACTATTGCTCAAGTCAAATCTCACATAAGTCAATAAGTAAAATAAAGTTCCATATGATGCGGTCTGTGTCTGTGAGACTGAGTATGGATTCAACTATCACCTTTTTTGTTTAAACCCTCAGCAACATTTAATAGAAATATCAGCTTTTGGTACACGTTTAGTGGTTTCAATTAGCGTATAAGTGTGTTCCTCTAATTTCAATGTAAGCATTCAGAACATCAAAATTAGTGCTAGGAATTTTCAATTAGCGGAAAAAGTTGCCAAACTTTTAACTTTTCAACTAATTATTATACTGCAAAATTTGCGAGGAATGTCATTTTGACCTTTGATTATCATCCGTCAAGAGAAAATGTGGTTAGAAATCAAAAGTTTATTGTTTTATAAGCTAAATATTAGTATATGTGTCTCTATGGATATAACTTATTAACGCAAATTGTTGCTAGGATATTCTATTAATTTTAATTGTACTTTTTAAACATTGTGAATGATCATAAACTTTAAAAGTAAAAAGTGTAATTGAAACCACTAATTTCGAGGTTCTGAATTAAGCTTTAGGTTTAAAGAGTGTGTTGTTGATTGTTCATCGTACATTAATACAGTTAATTATTTTTTTGATCTTGAAACGACATCCCAAACTCTATTGGATCGAAGTGTAACATACGGTTTAGCAAAAAAATCACGATGTTCTAGTTAATTAATAAAACGATCGATTGCTGTTTTGAATATCTGATACGTTTTCCGGTCAATGTATTTTCTACTCACCTTAGCGGATCTTTCCATGGTGAAGTTGAGTCCAGAATGGACAATATCTTTTTCTGAAGCACCAGCTATCCTCTTCTGGAAAGCCTGGGACGGAGTTACGGAGATCTTCTCGCCGAATTTCCGTTGAAGAGATTCCTCAACCGACTCTAGACAAGAGAAACATTATTACAAATATGTCTTTATGGAACTTTTATTTATGGATCTTAGATAGAGGAACTATCGAAAACAGGAAATAGCCATCTAACCCGATAGTCAAGCAGCTCTAAACGCGATCAACTCAGTAATCATCAATTCGAAGTTGACCAAAGAATGCATAGAGAAGCTGAACAAATTAGGCAAAGAAAATAAAGTCCTCCTACTCTGGGTGCCCGCTGACCAAAGAATTGAACGCAATGAAAAGGCAAATGATCTAGCTAGAAAAAGGGCTAACACTCCATTAACTGGACCAGAACCGTTCTGTTTTCCAAGCGGAAACCAACTAAAAGCGGAACTGAAGAACCTGGAAGAGTCCATCCGTAACCTGGAATGGGAGTCCTCCAACGGTCTAAGACACTCGACAAAGTTCCTCAGAACTTATGACCAAGAAAAATCGAAGATTTTCTTTGATTTAAGTAAAAACAATCCTCCGGATTGTCACGGGGTTTCTAACAGGACACTGTCTCCTCAACGAACACCTCAGTAGGCTGAAGCTGAGAAACAATGGCAAGTGCAGATTCTGTGGGGAAAATGGGAAAACACCAGAACACATCACTGAGTGCGCTGAGACGACGATCGTTCGTGCCATGAACTTTGGTAAGGCTGATGTCGAGGATGGAGAGCTGGCCTCTGTGGAGCCATCTCAGATACTGGCTTTTGTTAAAACCCTGAGACTGTATGATGAGTTATATAACTCGTTATAACTAAAGAAAGGAAAACACACAATATATCTGTAAGGTCGCGGTGATTAACTCCTCTCATAAACATACATTATACATTCTATGGAACTTTTGAAAGTAAGTAGAGTAATAATTTCAAAAAGAATATATACTGTATGTAAAGACTATTCAGGGATTACATTATTCACATTCACCTTACGTCATCCTCATTTGTAAAATATTTGTTTTGAGTAGCTCTAGTTTAACTACTACAAGGCAATATGTAAATACAGCCATATTTGCCTTCGACAGCCATATTGAATCGATTTTGACAGGTCGATGGAATGCCAGAAACAATTACTGTCCTCCATTCACGTAGTTGTGCAGCTCTGAACTGTTCAAGAACGCGATACTCTCACTACATTCAATTGAGTCGTAAAGTTCAGAACTGTTCCGCGCCATATGAAGGCACCAGGCTATCGCGCACAGCTCCTTTCAGAACCGTTCTAGCCCTAACCGAGTAGCCCAGGGCGTAAAGCTCTGGAACTTGAAATTCGCGAATAGAGGACAGCAAATGTGCAGCAATTTACGAAATGCTGTAATAACGTTACCAATCTCTTTCATTGATCTCTTCTTTGAACAATCACTGAACAAAAATTACTAAGCAAATCTACTTACGGAACAGATGGTAATTGGAATCTTTTTCGTATTTGAAAGTCAGTCTTCCGTATGATACGTGGTTGATGTTCTTCAGCCATTCGAAGTAGGAGACGGTGACACCACCCGCGTTGACGTAAAGATCGGGAATAACCAGGATGTTCTTCTTGATGAGGATTTTATCAGCCGCTGGAGTTATTGGACCGTTGGCAGCTTCGGCAATTAGCTAAATAAACATTTAACATATCTCAAATTTACAATATTATAAAAAATGAATTTTAAAGTACACGCTGCCGCTGGTTTATTCCAAAAGTGACAGATCATTTCAATATTATTGGAGCGAAGCAACGATGAACGATGTATGGACGCTGAAACGTATGAACTAGACTTAAAATTTTTGAAGCTTGTCAATTTCTTGTCAAAGTCTTGCCAAAATATAGGTTATAAATTTGTGTCAAATAACCTGTGTTTTAGGAGATTATAAACATTTGCAAATTGTTTTTGCATTTCGGTTCGTGTTATAGCGTGTGTTTTGTGTCTTTTGAAATTAAGTGGAGGAAAAATCGAGGGAAAATGAACTGTAAACCCAGAGCACAGTTTATAGTTAATATTTGATGCCCAGACAGAGTTTTATACACTAATAGAGTTACCATCAGTAAAGTTTGTATACCATCTCGCATATGATACTAAAAACAGGAACAGGGGTAGGGGATAGCTGTAAAATAACGTATCTCAGTTCACCTATTGGTCGGTCCTTGAAAAAGCTAACTGCGAGAGTATTGAAGTAATGGTTACAAAATCCCGCTTAAGATGGGCTGGTCAATTATGCAGAATGCAAGAAAATCGCATGCCAAAATATCTGCTTTACGGTGAGCTTGTAGACGGTAAGAGGAGGCCGGGTGGAGAACTCAAAAGGTACAAGGACATTTTCCACGAAAATTTAAAGGGGATTAACATGCAGAATCATTGGGAAGAAGCAGTTCACAATAGAACTCAATGGAGAACAATTGTAAACTCAGTTAACAGCGACAACCAAAAAGTAAAGAGGCAACAAAGCAATGAGCTTTTTGAATGTCCGGAGTGCGGTAGGCAAATAATATCACGTATAGGGCTTTTCAGTCACAGAAAAATGCAGCTCATGAAAGAAAACGCCTTGCGTGACCATCTTTTGATGCTTGTGGAATACTCGTCAGCGAGTAATGGCAGTATGTATGTAGCTGTAAAATAACGTCATCACACGATAGGTAAATATTAGATTTTAGTACTGCAAGAAAGATAATGACAAAAAGTACCGATTAAAAAAAATTAAGATTAATATTAATCAACTTTTAAGGTATTAAAATTCAGTGTTATTATTAATAAAATATGTATTTTTACATAGTAATATATAGTAATATTTATTCCTGTGCAATATATTTTTTTTATTTGTACATAAGTTATATTGAAAAATATAATAAAAAGTGCAGGAAGTTTCTTGAAGGTTGAAAGTAAGAAATAGTTATTTCTTAAAATTTGGTACATATATGTGGTATTTTGTTTAAAATACACCCTTGTTTGTTTTGTGTTAACACATACCATATTTTTTTGAAATATAATAATTTTCAGTTTTATAGTTTTCTTTCACAATCATATCCACAATATCTCGAAGTAATCACTTGTCACTCAAATTTTAAATATATTAATTTCCTGCTATGCGTTCCAATTGTACCAACTCATTTCTTTGTAGATTAAAATAAACTACTTTGAAATTAAAATGACAGGCACATCTATTGCTGTTCTCCATTCACGCAGTTGTGTAGCTCTAAACTGTTCAAGAACGCGATACTCTCACTCCATTCAATTGAATCATAAAGTTCAGAACTGTTCCGCGCCATATGAAGGCACCAGGCTATTGCGCACAGCTCCTTTCAGAACCGTTCTCGAGTAGCCCAGGGCGTAAAGCACTAGAACTTGAAGTTCGCGAATGGAGGACAGCATATAACTACCAAAGATTCTGTCGTTGGATAGACTATACTAGTTTAGCTCCCCGTTGCCAACTACAATGCTGTTCATCAAATATATCTATACAACAGTTAAAGCGCAGGAGTTTAGAGTATTGAGTAATAAAAGTAGAGACAATAATCTAAGAATATAACTGTAAATATTGATGCCATATTTATCTCTGTCGGCAAATCTGATTTTTATATAATGAGACTCATGCAAAATATTTTTAGAAAAAATCCATAAAAATAAATCAAGACTTATTCACATTATCAAGAATATTATGACGAAAAATACATTGACAGACACGAGTAGAATGAACACATATTTTGTAGAGATGCCAAAAAATAAGTGCACTGAACTCACTCCAGATAACAGTCAACTTATCTCATACAGAGGAGTTAAAAAGCGTAAATATTCTGATTATAAAAATATTACTAATCGAAAAGATATTTATACGTATTTTTTTATTTATTACTATCATCTCATAAGTATATAATATATGCACTATTAATTATTATATTTCACAGATAATATTTTGTTCTTTTTCTGTAACTGCTAATGATTAAGTAAATGTATTAAGAGGTTGTAATTTTTCTAGTATTCCTAATACTTATCTCAGTTCTATTATAAATATTACGTTTCATCACTCGGGGTCTTGATTAGTACGTGAAATAATTATTTGTTATTTGTATATCACATTAGTCCAAATTATTTTCTTTTGAATAAATATTTACTTCGGTTATTGTTAATTGTTTAATAAAATTAAATATTGCTATTTTTTCTAGTTTGCCTATCAACTTTTACGGCGATTTAAATCAAACATATGACGATTTGTCATTAGGGGGTCTTAATATATAAAAGTATAATAAATATTTGTATATTATATTAGAACAAATATAATTCTGAAGTTCTGTATCACAAAATGAAATATTTATCACCTTAACAATTTTAAATAGTTACAGTTTTTATTCAGCAAATAGAAATATGACATCAACAACAGTTGTCATTTTAATTACAGTCGGGTAGACTCTCGCCAAAAACAGATCAGATCATAAATGCCAAATAATCTGTAAAAGTATATGAATGTGCAGGAAGTAAAACTCATTGCATATGTTCCATATAATAAAGAAATACTTATACTGTGCTGGCAACTGTTAATTTTGGGTCGGTATTTACATGTGTGGAAGTAAATCGGAAATAATAGGGATCTTATTAAGTCGGAGTGAGAGAAATGCGACGGTGTGCTGTTGCGGCGTTGCCGGTACGCTTTTCCCTATCAAGCCAAACCAAACCAAACCAAATCAATAGACATGTTTCTGAGCATCTGAAATGGAATTATAAGGATATCGTTAAGGTGTAATTTTTTGTATAACGAGAAAACGTCAGTAATCGCGATAATTTAAAAACTCAACTTTTTAACACATAACACGCCATAACTCAAGAACCATTTTAGATATTGAAACTTTTTATATTTACATAAGAAAAATTCGATAAGGTTGTTTTTTCCATTCAAAAATTGTAAACAACCCATCCATTTACTTTTAGAGCATAGCAATTTTCAGCAATCGTTTAATTTTTTTATTGATAAAGATTTTCTCATACTATCTATGAAGAATATACAGCAGAAATATTAAGCAAGTTTTTGAAAAAAACTACAGTCAATTATTTCTAATAGATTTAGAGATATCGATTTTTTGAATTCCCTAATAGCGCGACCACTGTCGAACACCAACTCAATTCCACTTATTTTTACCAAAAATGCAAGTGTTTCTAGCTTGCACTTAAAAATGTTCAAGCTATAGGGAAAATTACGACTCCTTGATAAATAAACAAATAAAGTATCGCAAGACGTAATTAAATCGTGAAGCTGAACGCATGATGTGGAACTCTCTAGAACTTTAAGTACTGACAGAGGTACTGATTGGGTTGACCGGTCAACTGAGACAATTCTGCTATATCCCCTTCCACGTCTCTTAGCAATGTGCACCGTTTCTCGGTTTATTTCATACGTTTGGCAACGTGTTTACTGTTCTCTCTTTGTTCAGTACATTATAAACGCATTGTACTCTTCTTACATACGGAAATTTCGACCCAAGACTAACCTTTGCCAGCCCTTAGTATATGAAACAAAATACTAATAGCGATATTCTGCATTTGATTACATAGAGGTTATAAAAACAATATAACTTGACCACAGCCTATTAATAACCAGCCTGTCTTACTACGATTATTTGTATGGAAATCATATCATATAACGCTGTAGTATTAAACAGAAAATGACAAGACAATTTTCCATCAAAAAGATCTATGAAACAAATACTTGGAAATATTATTCTGTTCTTACCTTAGCCTTTATTTTATCAGCGTTGCCTTTATGTATAACCTTCTCGGTAGCAGCGGGCACTAGAATGTCAACTTCGTGGAACAGCAAATCTCCATCGTATTTCTGTGCTCCTGGGAATCCCACAACTGTTCCGTTGTTCACTCTCCATTCTTCCAGATCCTAATAGTAAAAAAAACAGTATGCTCAGTTTACATGCTAAAAACATGCCACGGATTCGAAAAAGCCTTACTTTAGGACTGATGCCTTCGGGATTGTAGATGGACCCATCGTATTCGACAACGCCTATACATTTGGCACCGGCTCTGTCAAGGTATCTCATCGTGTGAAGGCCCACATTACCAAAACCTTGGATGATAAATGTTTTGTCTTTCCAGCCGGTCTTTAAGCCGCACATTTGCATGTAGGACTCTTCGTTGATAAAGTTCTCGATACCGTGAAATACGCCTAATTTTCAACATGAAATATCATATATTTAACTTGAAATGATGTATCTATGTACTATATTTATAAAAATGACAAATATAACTTCAACTATATTCGACACCAATTAAACTTTTAGTTACAAAATCGAGGGCGAGATTTTTAAATTCATTGTTGCCAATCATAGCAACATATTCGTCGCCGGGCTGACTAACTGGAATTTAAATTTCCCGCTAGGGATTCAGGTGGTAACTCTGCTGTAAAAAATATCAAGTTGCCATATTTACTTACTTATTTTCTGACATTGTCATTCGTTTTGACACTTTAGTTTTGCATTACTAGTTTTTGATTTAAATAGTGTTGTGATATTTTAAGCTTAAAAATGTTTACTGGCAGACCTTGCAGTCGAACATTGTTCTTTTTAGAACCTCTTTTAATGCGAAGTCTGCAAGATAGCTTAATGGCAGTAAAAAAACTCATCGCAACTTTATTAGAATATTTTGAATTGGAAAGCTGTAGTAATGACCCTTTATGTCCATTAAGTACTGTTAAGGAGGTGAGTTTTGTTCATGTAAATAATAACTGTTTATATATTTATAATTAATTTATTTTTGTTTCCTAAAATATTTTGATTAAAAGAAAATATGTAAAAGTGGGCAACGCTGTGCCGGTCAAGCTTAATCACGTGACTAAAAGTTTATTTGATATGAAATATAGTGACAGTTCAAGATTCAAGAGTAAATAGATACATATTTTTAGTTTTTCCCGCTAACAGCAGGAGTGATTTCCATATGTCTTTAAACGTTAAGTGTTTCTTTTGTTAGGCAAATTTGTGTTGAAGTAAAAAGCCATTGATTTAAGTGTTTTTTTTTGTTGTGAAAACAAACAGGAAAAATAGAAAATTTTATTTATTTCCCTTTACTAGCGCAACAATTTGGATTCTGAAAGGAAATACTTAAAAAATTATACCTCTTCCAGTTGCGGAGATACGCCCATGGATACCACCCTGGTTGATCGGTTTCCCCGTTACGCACGCATGGCTGTTAATATCTTGGTACCCTATCGTTTTGGAGTAAGTGTCCGCTAACCAGGACATTTCACGTTCGCCGGTACCCATATCAGGAGCTGGTACGTCGATACTAGGCCCTAATAACCAAAAGAAACGTTAAATAACAAATTTTCATTTTGATCAACCCCATAATACCAAGCCATCAAGTCTTTTGGAGGACTGAAATTCAGTTATGGTTGGTTCATAATTCGAGTCCTAACCTTAACCTTAACATTAACCCAAAGAAATTAACCTTAACAACTTAAGAGTCTATTACACTATACTTTCGAGTCGCTCTCTGGGGTCGGGTAAAGCGGGTGTGTGGCCGAAGGAAATATATATTATATTTCAGAAATCTGCCTAAAACTTAGCCCAATCCTCAGCATTTGCCACTCAGCGTTACAAAACCATATAAATTATATATCATTGTAATCACAAAACTTCAATCTATTTCCGTATTGTAACGGAATTTTAAATTATGTCTTTATTTTCGGGAAAATTTAGTCCAAACATAAGGAATATTTTGTTGATGTTTGACCATCAAAATCTTAAAAATAAAGAAGTTGTCTAAAAATGTACTACAATACAGATATAGTATAATCTTTTATCTTTAATTTCCTTCTTCATTCGTGTAAAAATACTAGCCTGTTTTACAAAAAACTGCCGAACGCTTATTTTGCTACTTTTTCGGACTAGTGAAATGAACTCTCAAGGCAATCTTGTCTTAAGAATATTCTTAAGACACGAAAAGAGATTTGTGTGAAAGATGTTTTTACTTTGAGTGAACCTAATTTTATATTTTTCGAATTTAAAAAACTGAGTGAAGACTAATTTTTATAATAATAACAAATAACATTTACTTGTTTGTAAATAAACATAAACAATTTCGAAACCAAAAAAAATAGGTAATTATTAACATTTATAAATCTTCAAATTCAATATATCAAAAAATATTATTTAGAAATTTCTTAAAACCCTAATTTTGAGCATGAATGAATCGCAAATGAATTTTATGCAGGATCCAGACTCGCGCCGTGAAAAATACCGTGAATGGCCTTGAATTACGCGGCATTTACACGAACTTCTCATCCACACTCGCAATTGTTCGCAGTAGTGTTCACGCCCTATGTTCACGCCTTCGAGAAGAATAGATAAAATAATAATATAACTGCTAATTCTATTTTTTTCGTTTGTTATGTCTATGTATGATATCCCATAAGACAGGTTCTGCCTGGTACTGTTCCCGAAACTGTAATTCTAAATTATTATCCCACGTAGTCAGATTAAAAACAAGATACAAAGCTAAAAAATTACACCAGCGACACACACTATAAACATGTAATTTCTAAATAGAGGTTATGTACAGCACGTCGTGAGTGTGGAGAGCGTTCACGTTTCACGGGCGCGAACTCTTTGAAGCGAGCAAAAATACCGACTTCGAACGGGAAACGAGCCGCGAACGTTACGTGCCGTGAAAAGGCGTGAAATATATCCACATTCGCGTTCTCTTCTCTTCGCGGAGGTTCGCGGCGCGAATCTGGAGCTGGCATTATAGTAGCATTAGCATTATCCATAAGAATATAAAATATCCCATATTTCTTATGACCCATTAGGACTAAGACTAATGTTAAGATCGAATGTTTGGAAGTAAGAACGCTAGCATAAATCAGCCAAGAAACTCAGTTAATTTCGAGTTTGTAAGCGATTTTTGTATTTATTTTGAATCACTTCCAGATATCCACAATGCTTACCAATAAAACCCTTTTTAACCAGTTCCAAGGTGAATCTTCTTGTAATCTTCTCTAGCTCGTGTTCGGAATACTTTTTAGGGTCGATTTTGACACCGGCTTTGGCACCGCCAAAAGGTACGTCGACGCAGGCGCATTTGAAGGTCATCAGGGCCGACAGGGCTTTCACTTCGTCTTTGTTTACATCCATTGAATAACGCATGCCTAGAACCAGTATGTATTTATGAAATAGACACTACATCATTGGATAGTTTTTTAGGGACTTATTTTTAACCTCCTACTGTAAAATTATTAAATTAATAAGTTTCATAAAACAGGTAAAGGGAATTAAAAAAACGTATAAATTAATTTATAGAACGTATAAACTAAAAAAACGTATAAACTAATCTTATTATCAACAGCATCTCGTTCTCAAAAAATCAAAAAATAAAAATACAGGAAAGAATAAAATACATTTTTCCATAGCAACTGTTAAAATTGCCTTATATCTATCAAAAATAATAGATAAAATAGTACTTTAACCGCAAGGGTAGATCTGGGGTAGATTAAATGATACTCAATGATACTTTAACAGCGAGGATAGGTTAAAAACTTTATTTCTTCTCGCACGTTTTTTAATTGCTTCCATTTTTGAAAATGTTTATATTCCTTTTCATAAGTTATTCGGGATTTAAATGGGAGTAGTTTGGATATGGCGTTTGTCGCCTCAGCCTGAATATCTGTTGGTAATTTAGTTATTTCGTTTTGAGCCATTTCTGGCTCCAATTCAATCAGCAATCGACCAAAGAAGAGCACCTTAGGGATGCATGATTCGAATCGATTTTAATCGAAGATCGATCTTTTTGCCGAAAATATCGATTAAAATCGATCGATTTTTATCAAACGATCTTTTGGTAGAATCGATTTTTTTTCAAAATCGAAGATCGATTTTATTTATACATTTTTACAGGTTTATTTATTTGTTAGAATAAAAAAAACACTTTAGTTTTGCTTGAATATTTGATTCCGGTGCATCTCTAATAACAACTCCAAAATTCCGCAATCCAGCAATGAAAAATTAAGTGTAAGTGCTCGCTACCGCATGCGCCGATGTCTGTTTACCACTTTGATATTAGGTGTCAGATTTTTGTCGGTGATTCCCATATTTTTATATTTTAGATAACAGAATATTTTTTGATTTTAGCTTCTTTCCAACCGACTGATATATCAAAATTACAGAATTTACCGGTACATATTCTGTGTCAAAATCATCATAAGCATGCAAAAAGCCGAATAATTATATTTTAACATTGTTATAGTATTTTTAATTTTTACAAGTATGTCTCGGTTTGTGGGTGTTTCTGATTCAGTTTGGGATGACTGTTATTCAGTTTCAATTTTAAATGTGTTAATAAACGGTTTTACGATTTTTATGTATCTAATTTTTTTATGATTATATCGTATTTTTATTATACCAGTACACCAATACATTCAGAATCGAATATCGATATTTAATAAGATCGATCTTTTGTTGCCGATTTTTTTCTGGATCGATCTTGTTATGTCCGATCTTGAATCGATTCAAAATATCGATTTATTTTATTTTTGCGACATCCCTAGAGCACCTAGCTAGAAAAAGAATGGACTCTGCCATACTGAAAAATGGGCCTACACAAGTGGCGCCATCTATTGAGTAGGGCTTGTTTCAAATGGATCGAAGCGCGGGCTTTTTAAATGAGCGTATTTATTGAATTTTACTCTAAAATAATTAAATTTGATTATTACACAAATTCAACAATACTAATACAAGTATCGTTGTGATGTGTAAAAAATAAGATTTAACAGTATAATTTATATAATTATTAAATAAAATTAAAGCCAAACATGTGTAAATATTATTTAAAATTTTTATTTATAAGTCAAATATTTACAATCGACACGAAAGAGAATTAAAAAATATTGACTCAAAATTGACAACTAAAGAGACAGCTTTATTTATTTGTCAAATTACATGGAAACCAACGCCAACCCAGCACAATATTTTTTCTAGTCATAATAAATTCCTTGAAATCATAGAGTTAAAAATTACTTGAAATAATAATTTCTGAATATTTTTTAAAACGTAAAACGCTATGAAAAAAAGATTGTTTTATACACGGCGATAAAATTGCATTATCGCCTTGTATAAAAAATAACTATATGGTGCAGGTAAATTATTATTAAAAGCAGTTCTAAATGCATATTATTGTTGACTTATTATTTCATACTGGTTTGGATACTCTTATCTAATCTGATTAGAACAACCAAAATCCTACAAAATGAACATGAAAAATAAAAACTTAATATCTATTTCCAGTGTAAACTACTATAAATATATCATTCCAAATCATCAAATAAGTTTATCACGAGTTTAGATTATATTATAAGCGTGCTATTATTTCTACTGCATTACGTAAAAGAAACCTTAGATTGTTAGATACTCTTAAGTACGTTAAGTAGTACTTTAGTACCTTAGATTGTTAGATACTCTATGAGAAAAAAGGGTACTCTAAGAGAAGTACCTTAGCGCGTGTTTCTTACAGTATGACTTGAATGAGACAGCATAAATTTCAAATAATTAAAAACTATTGTTAATGAGATGGCCACTGAAAATTATATATTTATTTAAATCTTTGGGCTAATTCTAGCAAATTTTATTCATAAATCATGTTTTGAATCTGTATTGGAATAATTTTGACCTCGTGGCAATTGAAACTACAGGATATAGGTATAATCACTATTCATCTTACATGTTTAATAGATTTATGCTGATATTTGCATAGGTATTGATTTAATTTACATAAAAAAAAACTATTTATCATAAAAGGATTGAGAAATTACTAAGAAGTAATTTTCGTCATTTGGGGTTCCATTTTTAATTTTCCAGATATCAAAATACTTGTCATTTATTAAATATATTTTATCCCTAAAATGCCCCTTTTTGTAATCGTCGCTTGATAACACTAAAGAAGTGTGGCCAATGGGACAATGTAACACCACCATTTCTGCAATTAAAATATTAGTTTCTAACAATTTTTATGTCGATTTTCAATGAATATCATTAAACGGAGTTTGACCCGACATACTATCATTGGTTGTAATTTCAAAGGTCACTCTGATGCCGTTTTTTTCTATCGTATGGTATTTCTAACGCAACAGAGTGCTAATACAGGGTGTCCCAGAAATAAGTGCAAGTATTTTAAGGGGTGGTAGTGTGGTAGATCTCCATAAAAGAAACATATTCTCTCTTTATCGTTTTTCAAATAAGTCCAAAATAACGGAGTTATTTTACTTTGAAAATTTCCAAAAAAAAATGATTTTTTGCTAAAATTTTACCAAACCAAACCAAACCAAACCAAACAACTGAATCCTATCTGGATTTTTTTTTGTAAATTTAATCTAATACCTATGTTGCCATATTATCAAGAAATTATGTTTTTAACTAAAAACTAAAAAAAAATCCAAAATTTTTAACAAAAAATTTCGAATTTTCAATTTTTTTTTTCGCGAAAACAACCTCATAGACGTGTTTTTGGGGTTGAACTACCAGTTAAAATACTTACACTTATTTCTGGGACACCATATAAAGCACATTATATCCAATAAGTTCCGAACTGACAAAGGAGTACGACATGCGACAGGGAGACGCAATATCTCCAAAGCTGTTTACAGCAACACTAGAAGAAATCTTCCGTTAACTGGACTGGACCAAGAAATGATTAAAAATAATCTTGAAATCGAATAATAGTCCAAAGAGTGAATAAGTACTGAAGAACTACAAGCACAAATTAACGAACTAAATACAGCCAGCAATAAAGTAGGTCTCAAAATGAATTAAGCAAAAACTAAAGTAATATACAAGGAACTGGTAGATAGAAAAGGCAACACAGCACTGGAAATTGTAGAAGAATATATATATTTGGGACAACTAATACACAGCTCGGGATCTCTACTTCCAGAAATCAACAGAAGAATTAAGTTAGCAAGGAGTACTTATGGAAGAAACTCAATCATATTCAAATCTAGAATGCCACTTTACCTAAAGAAGAAAACATTCGACCAATGTGTACTACCAGTCATGCCTTATGCATGCGAAACCTGGACACTTAAAACGAACATTATTAGGAAACTGCATAGATGTCATTCACAGAATCAAATCCCTCAAATGACAATGAGCAGGATACCTGGCAAGGAGGACGAAAGAGACCTAGAGGAAGACTGAACCTGAGATGGGACCATGATATTATAGGAACTAACAGGGATAACTTGGGCCCGCATAGCCAAAAATAGACAACCAATGGGCCCAACTACAAAGAGAGTATCTAAATATGTGATTTGGCTTGGTATGGAAATGGTTGAATAAGCTGAGAGTGATGATGATGATGAAGATGATATCTAATAAAATGAAATAAAATCAGATCATTATTGTCTATTTGAAATGAAACTTTAAAACCTTTAATTTTATTTGAAGTAATTTATAATTGACACCCTGTATTATTTAGTTTATGCACAAGCCATTTAAAAATATAAATTAACCAAGCGTTTTATTAATATTAATAGATGACGCCGCATCTATATATAAACTAATTAGATTAATTTAGCCTTAATATAAAGCAATAGGAATGCGTATATTTGTTAAATAAGACAAACAGGTTCGAAATAGGTTCTAGATCGGAGCTAATAATAAAAATATATTTGATATCAATTAAACTTTTAGTTACGTAATCGAGGGCGCGATTTTGATTGCCAACCATGGATAGTGTTGATATTGTGCTGATAGTGAGGATAGTTAGTCATGCGGACTGCGCCGGGCTGACTAACTGGAATTTAAATTTCGCGCTGGAGATTCAGGTGGTAGCTCTGCTGTAAAAAATGTCAAGTTGCCACATTTATTTATCTATTTCCTGACATTGTCATTCGTTTTGACAGTGTAGTTTTGTATTACGAGTTTTTAATAATTAAGATAGCTTAATAGCAGTAAATGTAAGAATAACTTTTTTTGTTAAATTTCGCCACCCTTGTTGCATGATGTGTAATAATATATGTAATGTTACACATCTTTTTTTTTCTTCAATAAAGACGATTATTATTATTATGTTTCTAGTTACTCACTATTGTGGTTTTAGAGTATATGACGGGTTAACACCAAGTCTCTCTATTGCATACATTTTCTTACTATAGTTGTA